TACCTTTATTCAGTTATTTTTATTTGTTGAATCTGTTTCAAGAAATATCTTTAAGTAAAAGCAATTGCTTTCAGTGATTAAATTGTTTTCAGGAGTTCAGAGAAATTATAGTAACTCAATACAAGCATTTCACCTCTCAGCAGAGAGATGAATAACTGCTGAGTGATGAGAAAGATTATAAAATATAAATAGAGTATGTGAAACAGTCATGGTAAGTATCATTCTTCTGGATGCTGAAGACAATATTGATGAATTTCCCTTCATTGCATGAAATGAATAACCCTATGCTGAATAATGAAATTAAATATTCCATTCTCCTGCCAGAAAAGCAGAAAATACTTGAAACAGACTGCATTTCCAGATGTGATCTAAATCTCCACTGAGAAAGAACTTCGTTGCCTATTGAGGATCACAGAGAAAATGCACCACTGAAAATTCATCATTTCGTTAGATTTAGAAAAAATAAAACAATAACACTTGTATTGAAGTAAAGAATCAAGGGAATAAAGAGTTGCGGAAGAGATTTACCCCAAATGCATTTGTAATAATAGATGGAAAAACAGCTTTTGCTTTGACAGCTACAGAACCCAATGTATCAAAAGAAGAACATGTCACACAAAAGAACATTTTTCTCCTCTCATGATTTTTGCCATCTATTTGAAAACAATCAAGTACAGCTTGACATGTGATGTGTGGGAACTGTATTTAAACTAGCATGACATGGTAAGGGCAAGCATCTCCCACGAGACGTTTCGCATTTCTATTTTTCCATCTTCCCTTTGTGTCTTTTTCTTCCTTTTAAGCACAACATCGCACGGCAGGAAAATATAAAAAAAAATTGGACCAGACAGCGTGTTTCAGAAACAGGCCCTTTAGTGAACTTGAAGAGCTCAAAGAAGAGGGAATCTGGCAGAAACTGATTAAATGAAGATTCCATTGCTAAAGGGAAAAGTATTCTAACAGCACAAATCTGTCGAGTTGCCTCCTATGCTATTGTCTCATCTTGCAGCTGTATCTTGTGGAGGGATGTCTGAAGTGGGGCACGGTCCCTCTCCCCCAGTTCACTCACATCTGAGATACCAGTCACATCCAATGCCTGTTGTACCACGTGTACACGTGGTTCATTTTCAGAGTATGGATGAATCAACTAGGACCAAAGGTATCTGAGACAGACCGACCAAAGAGTTCACCATTGGCAGTGCACTATGATGTAATTCTGTCATCCTAAAAAAGCTGCTGTTCCTGTGCATGAACAGGGTAGGATTTTCCCCTAAGAAAATGAAAAAGATCTTCATACTGCTTTGACTCTCACACTTCATTGCCAAGAATGAATTTCGATCCCTGCCAGGTACTTGCATCAAGGAACTGGTGCCTTGCCAACAATGGGTTGGAATGCATTGGCAATCTTTTAATTCATTAACATTAAGACAAGGAACAGAAAATATCTTCTTGCTTGCAAAAAATAGAACAGGTCTGTCCATCCAAACCCAACTGTTTGCCGTCTTATACACCAGGTTTCCCCTCCATTGTTTCGCTCAGTGAAACAGGATAAAACTATGAAGAGGCCAACAGATTTTCTAGATGCTCTCCACAGCAAAATGGAAATGAAAGGTCTAGTATGCTTGGAGACCACACTGGTGAAAGGATGTTCTTACAATTCAGTCAGCAGAGCTACAAGATCAGGAGTTAATTTTGGGAAAGGTAACAAAGATACTCTAAGACAAGGTAACCTTTAACTTTTGCTAAGAGTGTCTCTGTTGCTTTCCCCAAATTATTCAAGAACAGAGGTACAACATAGGAGAGCGAGCAGGCAGGACAGGACCTGACTGAGAAGAAAAGGAGGCTTTAAGAAAAGATATGAGGGAGGGGAGGCAGGGAAGCAAAACAGTGGGAGAAGAAGGAGGAAAGAGCATAAGGAAAGGCATAATTAACAACCTGCAATGATAAGCAGTGTGAGGGATGCAATCTGAGTACACGATTCAGTTAAATGGTATATTTAACCCTAATTCAGTATTTCGTGCTGCTGTTGTGCAGCTGATATTAAAATGAGGATGACAGGAGGAAGAAGATTTGTTCCACTGCCTCTGGGCCACTGATCTAACAGAAACATCCCCCTGTGGGAGAAGTCACTCCATAAAGTTCCTTATAGTGCAGGTTACAAAGATGACCCTCACCTTGATCCAAAATTCACATTAATCTGACTTCTCCTCTTGATCAGGTAGAATATAAATGAGCAGGTCTGCTTTATGTTCATGCCAAAGCATGTATAACGAGAATGTGGAAAATACATAGGGTTCCTGCTGGGCAAAAAAACGTTCCAGAATGAGTTTCCTTGTATGATAACGGAAACATAACAGTCTCCTCAAAACAGATTAAATTCCCTTTGAAGCTAACAGTATGCATAAAGAAATTGTTGCTTCATCTTCCTGAAACCACCAAGGAATCCTACAAAAACTGAATTTTGTAGAAAACAAACTTGCAACACACAAGCTATAGCATATAAAGGACTGAATCTTGTATCATTATTTTGGAATAATTTTTATATGACTTGCGGGTTCACTGCAAGGAAGAAATAATTTGTATAGTCAGATGAAGGCTACAGAAAAAAATAATTAATTGCCCACCCCCCTTGATTCAACTGCAATGGAAGAAGGAGGCTTTCTTTAGAAAGCCAGATAGAATCTTCCATAACAACTTCACAAGAAAACCAAATTTCTCATCTTTCTTATTTCAATATATGCTGGTGTGACACTTCATTAAATTTTTTTTTACCCCTGTGTGGGACTTGATTTCTTGCAATTTTTAAGGACTTTCAAAAAATAAACTGCAGCATAACATATCTTCCCAAACCTGGCTATTCCCTATGTTTTCCACAGAGGTTTGTTCCAGCTCCTAATTTTGTCTGCATCTCACACCTACATTCCAGGCTAGTCCTAGAAAGATTCACTGAATAGTAGCTGAAATCAATAGCAATTCATAGAAGCTGCCAGGACTTCAGTTTAGAGTAATTGATTACTGTGGTCCTGCTGAGGCTCTACACTTTTAATATAAGGATTTCTCTGAGTGGTTTCCTCTGTTAGTCATTTAGTGCACACTATTTTCATTACATGGAGGGAACTGTGATGCTT